GAAATATTTGTTTCTTCTTTGGGAAGTTTTCCGTCACTATGTCGAATCGTGGTGGTTACGGTGGCGCTGGTCGTGGCGGAAGAGGGCCTCGTTCTGACCAGAAACAAAACCCGTCTTCTAGTGCGGTGGTCGGAAGGAAAGTTCAAGCCGTCGACGTCGCTTCGTCGTCTTCTTCATCAATGTCCGTACAAGAGAAAACCAATGTCTCTGAGTCCAAAGACTCTGCTTCGGCTCTTAGTCTCGACTTAGCAGAGAAAGTCCAGATTACTCCGACGACGACGACGAATCTTCCACCGGCGTCTTCAAAAGCAGTGACCCACCCGCTCCGGCCAGGGTTTGGTCAAGCAGGGAAGAAAATCACTGTTCGTGCGAATCACTTCCTTGTTCAAGTCGCAAATCGAGATCTTTACCACTACGATGTAAGTTTCTTTCGATTTTTGTTTACCCTTTTTCGTTTTTTGTAAACCCTAACCATGAATCTGGCTTTTGTAATCTAAGGGTTTCTAACTAGTTGTTTTTAAGTCTCAAGATTGAAACTTTATGGGTTTGAAATAAACCCTAACGATGAATCTTCATTTTTCAGTATTTGGATCTCTGATTCTTGTTTATAACTAGTTGATTTTAGTTTCAAGAATGACACTTTATGGGTTTGATATTTGGATGATCAGGTTGCAATAAGTCCTGAGGTGATATCGAAGAAAGTGAACAGAGACGTGATGACAACTCTGGTTCGCAACTATGGAGAGTCACACTTGGCTCAGAAGATTCCTGCGTATGATGGAAGAAAGAGCCTTTACACTGCTGGACCACTACCATTTGAATCTAAAGAGTTTGTTGTTGATTTGAAGGATAAAAAAGTTGATGGGTCGTCATCAAGGTAAATGCTGATTGAAACTCTCTGTAGATGGGTTGCTAGTATCACTTTTTCTTACGGTTTGTGACATTGTTGCTTTATACAGGAAGGAAAGACAGTTCAAAGTTGTTATAAAGATGGCTTCGAGGCCTGATCTTTATCAGTTACAAGAGTTCCTCCGCCGTAAACAAAGAGATGCTCCATATGAAACTATCCAAGTGCTCGATGTTGTTCTCAGAGATCTGCCATCTCAAGAGTAAGGAATTCGGGTTTTGCTTAAACTTTCCAATAGTCAAGGTATATGCATAGACAAATCGTACAATGTATTGCTTTCTGTTCAGGTATGTTGCTGTTGGGAGGTCTTTTTTCGACCCTAGTTTGGGAAAGAGAGGTGAGCTTGGTGATGGTATTGAGTATTGGAGCGGTTACTTCCAAAGTCTTAGGCTGACTCAGATGGGGTTGTCTCTTAACGTTGGTAAGGAATTACTAAATGTTTTCCTCATTTAAATGGTGTTGTTGATTGAGATTTGAATAGTTCTACTCATGTTTGGTTCTGCTGGAGATTATTTTGATGCATTGTAGCTGTGTTTCTTTTTTTATGTTGCAGATGTGTCAGCTAGATCTTTTTATGAACCGGTGTTCGTCACTGAGTTTATTGGCAAGTACTTGTATATCAGGGACTTTAACAGGCCACTTACTGACTCAGATCGAGTCAAGGTATTTTATCTGATGTTTATTCAACCAAGTAAATAGTAATCTTATTATCTAAAAGGATGCACTTGTTTTATACAAACTATATGTTTTTACTAGGTGAAGAAAGTTCTGAGGAACCTAAAAGTTGAATTGGCACATTTTAACTTTGCAAGAAGTTCCAAGATCAGTGGGATTTCTAGCTGTCCCATCAGTCAACTTAGGTGAAGTTGTTTATTTCAATAAACCTTAACCAATTGCAAAGTTA